TTTTGATACTTCCTAGCCTGTGGAAACTCTACTGTCATTTCTAGGAGATTAACTGGTTTAAATTTTACATGCGCCATATGCTAGGGCTTGTATTGAGGTGTCCTGCCAAAGCCTCATACATTCATAAGTGGAGATTTTCAGAGGCGACAAGATCTAGAGCTTGTGATATGGGATTAAGGGTGTATGATCTCTAACATTTAGTGAAATTCTGGGTGCGGATAATGTAAACACTAGCCTGAGTGTAGGTGACATCAATAGCTTCTTAGCTTGCATTGAATATTAAGGTTGAAAGTGAAGGCAGGCTTGTTACTGCTGCATTGTGCTTCCTACCTTCTGCATTTCATGCCATGGACTGTTTTAATTTTGCTATATCCCTATGGCCTGAAGCGTCTACAAAATGTGAGGCAAAATAAACTTTTCCTCTTTTAACTTGTAGATATCATGGATTTTGTCTCAGTGACACAAAAAATAACTAAGATTTTGGTACAAGAGAAGTGAGGCTGTTGCTGTGACATAACCTGACTGTAAGGTTCAGAAGTCTTTAGAACTGGCTTGTGGTAAGATTTTGGCAAGGATTGGAGATGCGAGCTGAAGAAGCAACCCCAGAATTCTGTAAGTCAAAGTTGGTGGAAGATTCTGTCCCCTGATCAGAAAACCAGAATGTTAATAGAAATGCAGAAAGAGGGGCTGGGGAGATGCCTCAGTAGAATAAGTGCCTCCCTGGCAAGCACAGGGGTCTGAGTTCAATCCCCAGTCCCCCCCCCCAAAAAAAAAAGAAAGAAAGAAATGCAGAAAGTAAACGTCAAGCTCAGAAGGTTTCTGCTGAGAGGGACTAATTGGCAGTTGGACTCCAGACTATGTGCATTATGCTTTGGCAAAACATTTGTCTGCATTTTGCTCATGTGAAGACCTTTTCTGAGACTGAGATTAAAGATGCTAGACAAATTAATGCTGGGGAAGAAATTTCAAGGCATTGTGAAGTTGAGGTGATACCATTGCTACTATTGGAGGCTTTTATCCTTTGTGCTTTGAGAATCAAGAGCAAAGGGTCCCACAGATTGATTTTAAAAGTTTTAAAAGTTGATTTTAAAAGTTTTAAGATGATTTTAAAAGTTTTAAGTTTCACCAGAAAAGAAACTTTGTTAAAGGAAAGGCCTGAAAAGATGGAACAAAAGAAAAATTGGTTGCTGAAAAGGAACAGATGAGTGGAAAAATGGCATGAAGACATCACAAGAACCAGCAGGACATCACCCTTTGCAGCCTCACAATTGTAAACGTGAAAGATTTTCTTTGAGAAGAGAGCACCGAAGTACCATGTTCTAGAACAGTGGTGGCCTATGGAATTTCTTCTTTGGGATTTAATTCATTGTTCTCAGCAGTCTAGGTGCTTGATCCCCACAATGCAAAGAGAAGGAACTTGAGCTATTGCAACAAGTGGCAGCAAGGCATGAAGAGAGCTAGCTGAAGACAGAGGCTGTGGGAGCCAAAACCACCAGCAGTAGCCCTTTGAAAATACATCGTCACTGATTGCCTAATATGCTGGCCATCAAAAGATAGGATTTAATGTTTGCTCAGATGGATGTTGGATTGGCTTTGTTTCCACTTTTATCTATCCCCCTATTTGTACCTTTTGGAATAGGAATGTTTATCTTGTGTCACTGTATGTTGGAACTTTTTAACTTTCTTTTATGCAGGGACTCACAGCTAAGAGTTTACCTTAAATCTCAGAGGAAACTTTGGACTTGCACTTTTCAGCAATGCTAAAAGTGTTAGGATTTTGGTAACTTTTTATGGATGGACTAAATACATTTTGCATAAAAAGATGCACATCAGAGCCAACATTATTATTTATGGCTTGTGTCTAGCTGTCCCCCAAAAGTCTCGTGCACTCATAGATGGGTATTTTCAATGAAGTCATGGGAGATTTTTCAGAGGTGGCTGGATCTAGAGTATGTGATACTGAGATTAAGGGTATGTGATAACTGAATGGGTTTAACATAGTTCCAGATGTAGATAATGCAAGTTCTACCCTGGGTGTGAGTGGCACCAATCAGTAGGCATATGTCCTGGATAGGATATGAGGGTAAGGAAATTTCATTGTTGTCACTATTGCCACTGTTGTTGTTATCATTTTTGTTGTTGCTGCTGCTGTTTCCCACCTATCCTAGTGTGGACTGTTTCTTTTCTCTGCCATGCCACCCCACCTTTCAACTTTGTGATTATGAACTGAAACCTCTACAAACTGTGAGCCAGCAATTGCCCTTTACCTCTGTAACTTCAATGTGTTTGATATTTTGTCTCAGCAAAAAAGAAGGTAACTAAAGTAATGTAGTTCTTGTCTTTCTGTTTCTAGCTTACTGCATTTAATATAATCTCTCATTGGTCCACCCATGTTGTCAGGAATGTTAGGATTTCAAGCCTTGTTTATGTCCCAACACTGTTCCATTGTGCATATGTAAAATATATTCTTTATTCATCAACCTATAGGCACTTAGATTGTTTCTATTTCATGGCTATTGGTGAGTAGGCCTGCAATGAACTTGAGTGTGCAGATGTCTCTTCTGTATGTTATTTAATTTCCCCTGGATATACACACAGAAGTGAGAATACTTCATCATATGGTAGGTTTGTCTATTTTTAATTTTTTAGGTACTGCCAAACTGTTTTACATAATGCCTCTACTTGTGTACATTGCCATCATCAGTGTGGAGAAGATCTCCTTTTTAAAACATCTTTGCCAGGACTTGCTGGTTGGGTCTTTTTGATAGTCATTCTTACTGGGGTGAGATGATAATTCACCATGGCTTTGATTTGCATTTCCATGATGATGAGCAATGTTGAAGAATGTTTCATAACTCTGATGCCCATGTTTATAGAGAAATAGGTTCGTTTCACATAAGTAAATTTTATTTAATGCAAAAGTAAAGCAATTAACTCACAGTAAAGATAGGAGTCAAACTCAGATATTTCTGGGTCTAAACATTCTATATTTATTTTTTCTGTAGTGGTATGATTATCAGATTATCCTAAATATTTTTGAGCCTTATCTGTCTCATCTATAAATTAGTATTCATAACACCTCTTAGTGGAACTGTTGTGAAACCAAATGAGTTAATGTGCTCCAAGGCTCTAAGCAAAGTACAGATGATGAGATAAATATATGGTATTTTTATACTATCTAAAGCTTTTGCAGGAGTACATTATTACAATTATTTAATTTTTTCTGATCTTTAAAGTCTTGTTGAAGTAAGTGAGAGTGGGAGAGAGAGAGTTACTAAATCAAATGTACTTTTCACCATGGGATTCTTTTTAAGGATTTGGAAAAATCAGTTTGAGAAACAGACATGTTTTTCTCCTTGAAGTAGTTTAGCTTTGCAAGTATAGATAGCTTTAAAAATAATTGCCATGTATGAAATAAAGTAAGAACATTTGGAACATTTTTGAGGTGTAGGGATGGAACCCAAGTCTTCACAGATGCTAAACAAGTTCTCCATAACTGAACTACATCCTCAGTCTCATTTGTGAGGCTTCTTTTTATGAAGATGGCAATAACTTTTAAATACTTGTCAAGCTAAGCAACATATTTCATTGAGTCTATCCTAATACCCAGCATGACCTAACCTAGGTCAGACTTTTTCAGTCCTAGGATCCCTCATCTACTATGTGAGCAAGGCACTGTGTGATGCAATGATATGTGTGAAGAGTTAAAAATTAAGCTTAGTACTTATATCTCTTGCTATCCATGAGCAACATTCTCTCCACTTTTTAAGGTACAGATGTGTGTAAAAATTAGGGTAAACAGTTGCTTCATTGTCCTTTGTTATAGGACCATGTCATTCTCCTACTCAGAACTCTCCAAAATATTCCCAGTGCATTTCAAAAGAAAAAGAAAAAAGAAAATTTCTCATCATAAAGTCCATGTCCACACATGGTCTGACTCATACCTCTTTTTCCTTTCACTGTGAAGCACTCTCCCTCTTACTCACTGTACACCACTGTCATGAACCTTCCTTCATTGAACATACCTACTTCACTCAACATCTTGAGAGTCTACACTAGCTTTAACCCTAACCTTCCCAGAAAGCATTTACTTGAGGAGTGCTTGTGTTACTTCTTGACTTGAAATAGCTTCACAGTCAATCTGCATCGCATCACCAAAATGTAATTTTTGTCATTCTTCAGATCTAATTTCCACATTTATCTATGTATGTATGTTTCCATTTTTTGTTTCACTAATATGAAAGTAACATCCATAAGAGCAAAGACTTTTGTCTGTCATGGATATCTTTGGAGCCTATGAAAATGTTTGCCATTTTGTAGGTCTCTAATACATAATCACTAAAGGAAAGAACACAAAGTGTGAGTACACAGAAATAGTCTGCTTCCAATTTCTGTAGCACCAGGTACAGCCTGTAATTAGTACCACTCCTAGTTCAGGTGCTAGCAGGTAAGCTGAAGTAGAAACAGTTAAGCACTTTGGCTTCACTCCTTTCTCTATCTTGTTGTTTGTTTTGTTCTAAACTTTATTTTTAATTGGGATTCTAGACATACTCTGCTTCCCTATCCCTAATCCATTAAGCCTCCCTTGCTTGCATAGTATTCTCAGTAGCTCAGTCTTTGAGACAAAGGTCATATTTGGTCCTTCTTGGTTTTCTGCTTTTCTCTACTCTAAAGACCTGATCTGACTCTGCAACCCCACATGGGTGAGTCTTGCTTTATTTGACAGATTTCTATCATGACAAATAGTCCTTACAATACTTTATATTGCACATCTCCTCTTGTGTTATACATTATCTCATGAAACATTTCTCTTATCTTGATCCTGATAGGTTGACTTCATGGTACAATAATGACTACTATTGCATATTCTCTGGATCCCATGTTTTATCTGCTGAACTAGTTCAGTCAGAGCACAGCCTTACTGTCTAACATTGGTTTCTCTCTGGTATCTGATTGGTTCTAAATTGTGAGAAATAGGTATAGTGATTTGAGGGTCTTACCTTAGAGAGTTCCTGCCCAGGACCACACTGTTGACAAGTGACACAGCGTCCCCATTGATCCCAGTACTCATTTTCTTGGCAATCCATGGAGAGAAAGCCGTAGGTACAGAATGTAAGAACTAGGAACCTGGTAGAAAAATACTGCAGGTATTAATTATTTCTATGACATTTGATTTCTAGATTGAATTAACCAAACCTCTGGGTTTTAGTCAAGCTTTTGAGAAACCCAAACAAAAATATCACTCTTTCATAGCTTAGTCCACATCCAAAAACTCTTTTAAATGTTTTACATGTAATAACTCATTCAATTTTCAAAACAAATGTATCTGTGATTATTATTAACTCCATTCTTCAGATGGCGAAAATAAGAAACAGGTGCCAAAGTACTTCCTTATATGGTCATAGTTAGTGATTATATAAGGCACAGACTAGTAAAGATAATGACAAGTAGCTGGCTTCTGTACAGGAATACTGAAAAACCATGAGCTCTTAAGAGTTTAGTAAGTAGTTCCTTATCTATTATGATTTGATGTGCACAATAACCATGTGACTTAAAGAGCATAGATATTATCTTCATTTTATGCATTAAAAAGGTGACTGATTATTTTTCTTTACCAACAGCATATTCCATCCTTCTGAGGACCACTAGCTGATACTGCTCCTGGCCTAGGCAGAAAGGGATGGGAGGGTGACAGATTATGTAAAAATATACTAGAACACTGAAGAGTTGAGAAGGAAAAATATTACTCCAACAATAGTTTCTGACAGACAGATGGCATAAAGCATGCATTAGACTGAGAGTGGGGATATACAAATTCTAATCCTTGATATATGGTTTGTTCAGGACTAAGAGGTTTGCCAACACATGGCACATTCACTGCTAAAACGCAGAAAGTTTCAGCATTTCTGGATTCATTCTTTATTTTTTATTTTTTAAATTACAAAATAGTAAAAAAACATTAATTAAACAAAGTAATTGGAATTCAGCAATGGTTACTGTACTGCATGATGCTATCATCAAATTAGTTATTTAGGTTGCCAAATATAAACCTGAAACATTGGTTAAAAAACCAAAAAAAACAACAACAACATAAAAGTTATAAGAAATTAAAAAGTAAACAGGAAAAAGCTAGGACTGGAAGTCCCATTCAAACCAGCTATCCCCCTACTGGGAATTTTCCCGAAGGAACTGAAAATGTCAGATCATAGTGATATATGTTCACCTATGTTTATAGTAGCATAATTTGTGATAGCCAAATCTTGGAAACAAACAACATGCCTATCACCTGAAGAATGGATGAAAAAGATGTGGTATTTTTATACAATGGAGTATTACTCAGCTATAAAGAATGATAAACTCAAAGCCTTTATATTTAATGGATCCCACTTGAAGATATACTCATAAATGACATGAAACAGACCCACATGTGTAACTACCATATAGTATCCCTAGTGTAAGAACTCAAAAGAAGAAGTAAAAATATTAAAGTTGTAAGAACAGATACTAAGGGGCTGGGAAGATGGCTCAGTGGAATAAGCACTTCCCTGGCAAGTGCAAGGGCCTGAGTTCAATCCCGGGTAAAAAAAAAAAAAAAAAAGAACAGATACTACACGTGATCTTAGCAAAAAAGTTGAGAAGATATAAGAAGTAAAAATAGAAAGGTATAACAAAAATAAAAGGAAAGTGAGAACTTAAGGATTAGACAACAAAGAGAGGGTAAAGAGAAAAAGTTAGGAAACACGACAGGGGTAAAACCATACATTTATATGCACAAGATGGCTAAGGCAATGATTCTGAGAATCGTCAGCAGGTTTTTGAAACTAGCAGTTAATTGGTAGGATTCTCACCCTGACTAACTATATGTGCTGATACCTGTGAACTAAGCAACTGCACTGAAGATAGGAATGTGTAATTCTAGGGCTATGCTTGGAATGCCTGTCATTCTGGTCTTCTAAATACATACTGCTTGTCATGTCATAACAATTACTGTCATACTATCTCTCAAGTTAATGTTTGTTTAAAAAAAAGGGTAACAAATGAAAACAAGAGACAAGAAAAAAATGTCAGTACTGTCCTGCTACAATGCTATGTATGCTTAGATTTCTAATTTTCTGTGTAAAAATATGTAATTGTTTATTCTTATTTTTCACAATTTTTTAAATTTTTTTCTTCATATTCTGTAGGGACCTAAAGTTTAACATATCAATACTTGATGGAAAATACCTGTTCTATGTTATGTCTAAGATGTTTGATATTCAGACAGATAGTGAGGTTAAGTTCAATTGCCTATGTTGTAGGGTAATAATAATAAGCTTCTCTTCTGGAGAGTTAACAACCTGAGTTTGCAGACCAAAAACTAGAGAAAAAGAAGAGTTGCGAGGGCAGCCAACATTTTGGTCCTAGCCTTTGAAGGTCAATGAGGACTCAGAACATGAGAGAACCTGTACTGTAACATACTGTAACTCAATTGTGTCCCAAATTTTCTGACCAAGGAGATAATGAGGCCATAGAGGAAAGTGATTGATGATGTAGAGTGTGCCTAAGGAGACGCACACGGAGAGAAAACATTCTCTCAGCCTTTCACAGAGAACAAATAGATCAAGCAATGGCTGTGACTCATCCATATGGCTGACAGAGGGACCGGGGAGATGGCTCAGTGGAATAAGCGCTTTGCTGGCAAGCACAAAGGCCAGAGTTCAATCCCTGGTTCTGCCAAAAAAAAAAAACCCAAAAAACAAAAAACATATGGCTGACAGTGACAAAGGATCTGCAAACTGTGGTACAGGGTTTCAGGGTTTCCAGTCCTAAGAAAAACCCACCACTAGTATGGACTACTGGACAATATTGGAATATTTTGCTGAATTCACTCACCTACAGTATTTAAATGACAATGGAATGCCCTTCTCTGACAAAAGTAACCAAAAAATGGGATACAAATGGAGGACCATCTTGTATCTGTATATTCAAAATAGTTAGGATTACACTGCTACTTTCTCTTAATTCAATGAATATAAAGATTTGTTCTAATAATGTTTTAGGACAGGATATCATGTCTGCATCTTGTACAACGAATAACCACTAAGAAGACAACTGTGTGCAATGTATTAATTATTGAAACTGTCCTAGTAATTGGTTTTGAAACTGTCTCATTGCTACTTGTTTCTCAATAAAATTATTTTAAAAAAGAATGTAAGGAAAAAATTAAATATTAATTTTTCTTTTCAAAAGTGCAGCAGAATTCAGCAGTACAATTATAAAAACTATCATGTATATATACATAAATATATCTTTTTCACTTCTTTTGTCCTTTTTCTCATCCCAGTATTTCCTTCCCATTGAACTAATTCTTTCCTTTTCACAGTACCTATTGAGCAAAGTGAATCTTATGCAACTTTAATACAAATATGCAATGGAAATCATAAAACAAACAAATACTGTAAATAAGGCTTCTTGATATCCTGGGCTCTGCATTAACACACTATACCATGATCTCACAGCAGCACAACTGTGAGAACGTCTGCCAGACAGTTCCATGATTTGTTCCCATCTCTGAATGTTCATAATCTCTGAAAGTTTGCAACTCAGATGTTTTTAATTCAAAGACTTACTGCATATAGAGAGGTACTTTTGTGTAAGAAAGAATTTAATGAGAATGGCTCAAGTAATTGCTAAATGAGGCCTGTTCTTATAAAAGAGAAAATTGTGATTTTTTTGCTTGCTTCTTTCATGGTGAATATGAAGTGGTTTTACAAAGTCATTAAAACCCTGCTTTGGGCTGGTGAGATGGCTCAGTGATCTAAAGCACCTACTTAGAACAAGCTAAACTAAGCAAAGCACAGGGACCGCGGTTCAATCCCCCAGCACCAATGCCAGCCAGCCCTGCCCCTTGGTGGGCTGAGCTGGCCACACACACACTAAATAAATAAATAAATAAATAATTTTTTTAAAAAAATATATATAACCCTGTTTTGATGTAACTTAATGGTAAAGCACTTATGAAGCATGCATAAGGTCCTCAGTTCCACTTCTAGAACCATAAAAACAAAATTCCTAAATGTGTACTTCCCAGGCATGAGAAAAAAATGTGTATGTATTTTCTTAAAGGCTTCCACAAAAATTCCCAGTGGACATAGTATGATATAGCCTGGTTGACAATCTTGTTTTCTTATTATCAACTAGTCTATTCTTGCCCATTTCTTCATTTATAAGATAGTGGCCTATGAAACCCATTTGTGAACCAGGTGTTGTGGCACACACCTGTAATTCTAGCACTCAGAGAGGCTAAAAAAAGAGGATTGCAAGTTCAACATTGGCCTGACAATTTATTGATTTAGCAAGATCCTGTCACAAAATAAAGAAAAAGATAATAAAAGTTCAGGAGATGTAGCACAGTGTAAAGTTTCTGGTTGAAATCTCTAGCATGAGAAAGGAAGGAAGGAAGGAAGGAA